ATTTACTTCCAGTCTCTATAGATTTCTCTATTCTGGACTTTGAATAGCATATGAATAGCATCATATAATTTGTGAAATTTTGTGACTGGTTTCTTTCACATAGCATAATATTTTCAAGGTTCTTCCAAGTTGTGACATGCCTTACTGCATTTCTTTTATGGCTGAATAATATCGTTTATACAGATATATTGCATTTTGTTTATACTTTTGTCTGTTGATAAACATTTGGGTTGTTTCCTCCTTTTGGTTATTATATAAAATGCTGCTATAAACATTCGTGTACCAGTTTTTGTGTGAAGATATGTTTTCATTTCTCTTGGGTTTATACCTAGGAGTGAACTTGGTGGAATAAATAGTAACTTTACACTTAATTGGTTGAGGAACTGCTAAACTTTTCAAAGTAGGTGCACAATTTTATATTCCTATCAGCTGTGCATGAGGACACCAATTTCTCTACATCTTCACGACACTTGTTACTATCTTTTTGATTCCAGCCATCCTACTAGGTACAAACTGTTATCTCATAGTGGTTTATATCTTTTAGATTTTTTTCCACTTGTGTTTCTTCAGCATCCACACAGTGCTCCCCAGCATGTGATAGGTATTCTGATGTTGTTTGAATGGGTTAAAAAGCTGTCATTTATGTGTTTTTGGTTTTGTTTATGATTTTAGCAAGTGCCCAGCAGGTACTTGTGATGGGTGTACATTCTATTTCCTGTGGGAGAGTGCTGAAGCTTGCCCTCTGTGCACGGAGCATGACTTTCATGAGATTGAGGGAGCCTGCAAGAGAGGATTTCAGGTAAGGGACAAACTCTCAAAGCAGAGCTTTGGCATTATAGTTGGTTAGTCTGGTATCACATCATAGAAACCAAGGTCCAGAAGTATGGCAAAACCTTGTAGTTAACTTAGTGTGACATTGGTAGGCATTTAAAATCAAGTTTGTTAGCTGAACTTTCAGATGCTAGGGTAGCTGGAGATGTGCACTGGGATTGAGGAAAATGAATCATGATAAGGGAGTCACAGGCTTTGAATATTTACCTGGATTATATGGGAATGATATCATTAAACCAAGATGTGATTTATATAATGCAGGTTAGGTATAATTAAGATGGGGATAATATAACTGACTCACTATAAGAAGCGTGCCTAAACAGTAAAGCATATACACGTAAAATTAAGATCCTACTCTATAGCTTCTTGCATTCATACTTAAATATTTTTTATTTCCATTTTATATTTAATACATTATGAAAATTTTCCCTTCTCATTAAATATATTTTTGAAAACATTTTTATTTATTGATAAATATTTTTTATATAATTTGGTGTTTAATAATACCTTTGTTAGACATTTGAGGGAAAATTGAAAACAGTCTTTTTATAAATAACTGTAGCAAACACCTTTGAAGGAAATTTGATTTTGTTAGTTTGTGATTAGCAAGAGATTATTTGAATCCAAAAAGAATGGACATTTTTAAGGCTTAATACATATTACCAAATTACTTTGGTTATATCAGTTTTCACTTTCTCTTCATTTTCACTTTCACCAATAGTGTTTGAGAGAGCCTGCTTCACTGCACTAACTTTGAGTAGTATCATATGAAAAAAAAAAACCAAAACTTAATCTGCTTCAAGACCACTTGTTTACCACCACTCCATGCCCAGATTCCATTAAAATCATAATAAAGAAGCACAGAGGAAAGTAAACCAACACTAATTCTGGAAACCTGAAGGGAGAGTGGGCAGCAGAGAATTAGAGAGGGGAAGCAGTTTTTCCCGGGAAGGTCTTGAAGAGCTTGCAGTTAGCAGGATGAAGGGCAGGAACTTGAGAGGAATGAAATCAGGATGCTTGCACCCAATCCCATGCATTCCAAGTATTTGACAGCAGTTGCGTTCACCTCACCCCTAAGAAAAAACCATACAGAACTATTCTCTAAGTTGGTGTTTTTCAAACTTTAATGACAGTGAACCTATATTAAGAATTATATTGTACATCAAACCCAGTACACACACACAAATTAGACACACAGAAATATGCCTAAAAGTGAGATAAAGTTTCAAGGAACAATATTTATTTTGTATTTTATGATAAAGTACAAGCACAGAGTTAATGTAAAGTATATTTTTATTAATAATTTAATGCAGTATACAAAAAATAAGCAGATAACACAAAAACAAAAATTAGGAAATGTGTTATTTAATTTGTCAAATGTGCTTCCCTGTAGATGGCTTATTCTAGTTCAGAGCATACGGAATCAGTGCAGCTCACTCAGCTAGCACACTGCTGAGACAGTTTCTTTTTAATATTTTTAAGTAGGTCAAGGATAAAAATTCCAGATTCACAAAAATAGTTTTTTGTTAATCCTCTTAATAATGATAATGCTTTTTCTACTTCACAATAGAAATTCTTCTTTACCTTTACTCTACAATTATGACAAACTGCTTATCTTATAATTGTTTTTTAGAGTAAATGAAAAACGAAGCTGCACTCTCCTTGGCTACCAAGTTTAATTCAAAGGTTTTTGAATGACTAAATGATCTTTTGTTCAAATATTCTTTAATATTTCTCTCCTGGAAGGTAATGAATGATGAGAAGGTTAAGACAGTAAAGTTGCAACAAGTTCTCTAATTTTATTTCATTCAAACTGTCTTCCTTGGTAGGGTCACTTCAACATATGATAAGATTGTTGAGAATAGATAGTTGCTGGCTGATTATTTAGTATTTGTTTTTGCCTTTAAAATGATACTTTTTGGATCACTTTGATGTGCTTGACATGTTGAAATTTATAACATCCCCCTATAGTTACATATTTAATTTGAGAAATACTGGAAGCAGTTAAATATATTCTTCTACTATGCTTAGATACCTGTTTTGGAAATATTTGTCTAAGGAGCTTAAGCTTCAGTTACAAAACTATGAATATTATTCCTGAGTTCATAGACCTTACTTAGTGTATTCCATTGCAACTGTAAAAAATGGGTATGATACAGTAAGTGGGAATAGCCACCTCCAATCTCGGAATAAAATATTTTAAGAAGTCAACTCCTCTGTGAGCTTCAGATACAAATGACAGCTATTGCTGTTTTTTATTGTCAGTGAATATGTGTGGATTTCTTTGGATACCAAAGCTTCATAATGGAAGAAAAATAGTTATTGTGAAATATTGCAATGGGTATATTTAATCTTTTTAACCATCCCACTGTGTTTCAGTCCTATTTCCAACACCATCTTTATAATTTTTTACTTTATATTGATTGAGTATTCACTTTCCTAATTCTTTAGATATATCTAATACAGATGCATATGTTAAATTTATACAGGTCCTCCACATACAGCTGATATAAACAAAAAGAGCTGCACAACTTGTGATGAAAGTGCTCTTATCAAGTGGGATCTGTGAAATCTATACCAGGTTCTAAGTGTGTATTAAGCATTACTTATGTATGTCATGCAACACTAAAGATTTGAAGAGAAACTGTATTATTACTAAGGGGACTGTCTTAAAATTTATCTTTGAATTTATTTTACCCTGCTCACAAAATATTTCTACATACTAGAATAATAATTTTTTCAGCTGCAGTGTCAGCCATTTTGTTTTCCAATGATGTGTGGTTGAATGAATAAGGCTTTCTAATTAATAGTTACAGAATTACTAAGATAATTTGCCAATAGCTTGATTTTTTTTTTTCCATGTCAGTATTTGAGGAGCTTATTGAAAAGTTAAGCATTCTGGGTTTGCAAGTATTTTTTTAATTTTGAAGTTTTAAGATTTTGTTATAAGACTGCCATCAGACAGTAGAGCTTGCTGTTTTCATTGGGTATTGCACATTTGATAAAACCATATCAAAGATGGTACAGTCTTTTTGCCTTGTTAGAATGCACTTCAAATAAAGTCAACATTTGCTAACGAATTTGTTTCTCTCTGTATTGTCATTATTGACACTTAGAGATGCAGCAGATGAATTTGAACATGCCTCAGCATTTCCCATATTACCATTTTTATAAAAAATGTGACCCACTTAAAAAGAAATTTATTTGCACTAAGTTTAGGAAAAACGTTACAGCTATAATGTACAAACAAAAAAATCCAGTCACTAATATCCTTTCTAATAAACATGCTGAAAGTTCCTTTCCAAAACTTGAATCAGACTTTTCCTCAAAGTGAAGAAGAGTCTCCTGCCCCTTTCACTTCATGACTAACTGCAAAAATATTTGTGTATTTAAATCATGAAAATTAACATTATGGTGTTATTCTTCCGTTAGAGTGTTGATAAAGTGACCATCGTACACCAGAAAGTTTAATGAGACACGTTAAAAGATTAGTGCCCTGTGTTATTTAATGTCAGTGGATAGAATCACCATGCAGATTGCTACTGGTCACTGTATATGTTGAAATATATAAGGAACCATGCACTGTACTCTGATTTTCTATTTTGATCTGCCTATTTGATCTATCTATTTCTTAAAATTCCTGGTTAAGACCCAGTATATTAAGGCAGTTTGAAAAACATTGCCCTAAAGGAATTGCCATCTATTTCGGGAGGATGAAAGTACTGGTGTGGGTAGTGATGACCCAGAATAATGCCTTCCTTATTTTGGCATGGGGAAGAAGGGTGTAGACTATGTGCCCGCTTACACCAGTTACCCAACCGTGGTACACCTATATGTCCTGGGTCTAGGGTCTGTTCTTCCACTCGGTGGACAGGCTTATTGGGAAAATGGGCTTACATGATGGGTGGATGCAACCCATTTCTTAGAGTAAGCAACCTAAGCTTTCATTCAAAAACATGACTAAGATGTCTAAGAGCATCAAAATTGGAAAAAAAGAAAGCCCAGAAGGTATGTTCATATGGAGCCATTTTTATTCAACCTCCTTGGCATGCACTGTACTGTACTGTACCCTTCTGAGGTGGCAATCTATGTCTTTGTTTGGTTTTTGCATTTTCATTAATTAATTCCTTATTCATTCATGTATCTTTTTTCCTGTATTTCTGGAGCCCAGAAGGTATGTCCATATGGAGCCATTTTTATTCAACCTCCTTGGCATGTACTGTACTCTACCCTTCTGAGGTGGCAATCCATGTCTTTATTTGGTTTTTGCATTTTCATTAATTAATTCCTTATTCATTCATGTATCTTTTTTCCTGTATTTCTGGAGCTTTTATTAAATGAATGTTGAATAATTCTCTATGCCTACTGTAAGTAAAGGGTTAGCAAAACCCTTTCTTCTTTTATGTAAGAAATTGACCTGTGACAAATCTAGCTTTTACAGTTGAGTCTGAATCTCATTTCTCATGTCTTCTATGGTTTTATGGTTTTTTTTTTTTTTTTTTAAAAGGAAACCTTATATGTATGGAATGAACCTAAATGGTGCATTAAAGGAATTTCTTTGCCTGAGAAAAAGTTGGCAACCTGTGAAACAGTTGACTTTTGGCTGAAGGTGGGAGCCGGTGTGGGAGCTTTTACTGCTGTTTTGCTGGTGGCTCTGACCTGCTACTTCTGGAAGAAGAATCAAAAGTAAGTACCCTCTGAGATGATCACAAGAGAGCAAGAGAGCCTATTTTGTTGTGAAAATTCTAAACTTGATCATTATATCCAATAAATAGATTCTTCAGAGACACAAGAATTTTCTCCTTGTGAAGAAATCATAGGAAAGGCCTTGAGAAAGCAAGCAGAGGAAACGATTGTTATTCTG